ATGCCTTGCACGCATGAGTTGTACATGGCTCTGGCACAGGAGAGGAGAGACAAGCTGGAAAGGAGGGCCCGGAGTTCGGTAGCTTTCCCAGTGCGCCTTAGGCCGTATCGGTGCCCCACATACAAAACGGGTTCAGCTGGGGATGCGGAAACTTGACCTGCAGCTTCTCGGCTGTTTGCATTCTGAAAGGCGCCTTCCGACCTCCTGGCCGCATCCGGGCAAGTTCGAGCGACCTTGAAGGGATAGTCCCTGATTTTAGGCTTGTGATCATTCCTCTGTGGCCGAGGAAGCCACATTGCGAGCGGAGGTCTGGAGAATAGGCATGTTGTTCCCGTTGTGAAGGAACCCTAAAACCTGTCACGAGCCTTCTGATAGGCTTCCACCTCTTTCACGGGCCCTTTCACTTCAAAGAGGGATGCACTGGCCTGGCCACGTATGGAAAACACTCTTCAGGTACAACTCAGAAAGGATATGAACAGTGCAAAATCCTCTTCGCACCAGTCGGGGATGGGTTGCGCCTTTTACTGAGAAAAAAACCACCTACTGGTGCGAATTGGATTTGTCCTTTCGCTCTAAGAGGGTTTCCACCCCTAAGGCCCTACCCTCAGCAGAAATCGGGGTGTATAGGGGCTAGTTGTGTATCCCATTAAAGCCCCTGCTAGTGGTAGGGTGGAAATGATCTATCCGCAGTATCGCAGTGAGCCCTGTCAGTGGAGCAGGAAGAAATTCGCCTCAGGTGCTGGCGCCACAGCTGAGCGCTGAGCTGCCCCCCGCCTTCGATGCCGGCGCCGCCAACACCTACGTGGTGCAGGCCTTCGATCTCCGACTCCGAGGGACTGGAGATGCTTCCCAGTTGAAACATGTGGGCCATGTAGTGCCCCAAACCCGAATACCTGGTCTAGTGGTATAATTATAGTTGTGCGTAAACAAAAATGATCAAACGCATGTTCGTCAATGGGTTGCGCTGCTCATTTGAACACTTCTTTCATATTCTTTTGGGGTATGTTCAACGAGGACGTAGTTATACAAGAACCCTGTGAGGGGCAGTGTTGGGCCGGTGGTGGGTGAATTCAATGGCTGCGACCCCCTGACCACGAACTCAAACACTAAAGGGCTGCCACGACCATCTCTGGTTCCCAGGCTGTCTTGCAATGGTCAGAAAAGCCGCGAGATGGGACCTTGATGCCCGTATTCCAAAAGAATGCTTTATGGAAAGAACGGCTGGACGTGAAGAACGCTTGATAGCTTCCAACTAGTCCCAAAAATGGGAGACCCTTTATATAAAGGCAATCCCAACGCACAGTTGAAGCGACTGGTTGTTGTCTGGCTTTTGTAGTGGCCCCTACAACCTGGGTCATGCGAGACCAATAGGTTGAAATTGGAAGAGTGGTTTAGCAGGTGCAATCACGTGCTTGGCCCAACCCTACCACCGTTTGCTTTTTGTACCAAGGTGCTTGGCATTCGTGGGGTTTGGTTTGTACCTTTGAAAGGGTGCGCGGGTTCGCAGGTTGAGCATTTTGGCCGAGGTTGGGAGGGTGGGGCCTTGTGTTACTGGCGGATGAATAGGGGTTGTTCCTCCCAGAGTGCGGTTGCCCTCCAAAATTTGGAACACCGCCATACTGGGGTGAGCAAAATCCCCTTCGCAGTTCGGATGATGAACCCCGAACAAATACCATCTAACCAACTGGCGCGAACTGGATGTTGGCGGGGTGTTGGCGCCCCAAGTAATCCGGTTTTCCCACCTCCCACTGGGCGTGCGTTTGTTTTGAGGATGCCCTTTAGGCTTTTCGGGCCGGTTTTCAGGAAACCAACAGGCAGCCCTTATCTCTGGGTTCTCCCAATTTTGAACCAGACGGCACGGTGGGTTTCAGGTGGGCCGGCAGATGCCGGGCGCCTCCTCGCCGGCGCGGCACCCCGGAAACCCGTCTTCGGGTTGTGAGGTTCGCTGAAAATAAGTTGGCCACGTTTCCTTTTCAGAAAGCTGCTCATACTCTCAACCACACGGATCTGAGTTTTTGTTTATTTCACACTCTTTCGTAAGACCCTTCTTTTTTGGGGGTTGGTGTGTTTGGGGACCCGGTCTCCAAACGACCCTTGAATTAGTTGCACAGAACCACAATCTGCACGAGTTGTGAAAATCAATTCAGCAATGTGACAGTTGCTCCGACCTTTGCTAGTGGTGGAGAGCGTGGAGCAATGTGTTTGTTTGCGAATAAAAACGTAGACCCTCTCAAATCAATCCATTTGGTAGCCCAAAGAGGTTCTGGCTGCGACCCACCTATGGTGGAGCTAAGAGGCGGTTGAGTGCAGTGTTCAGCCGTGTTTGAAGCAACAGATGACGCCATCATGATCATCAACATCATCATCGTCATCATCATCATCATCACCATCACCACCAGCACCACCACCACCACCACCACCACCATCATCATCATCATCATCATCATCATCATCATCATCATCATCATCATCATCATCATTCTAATCACCATCACCATCACCATCATCATCGGTCATCATCATCATCATCGTCATCGTCATCGTCATCGTCATCGTCATCGTCATCAGCAGCATCAATATCATCATCATCATCATCATCATCATCATCATCATCATCATCATCATCTTCTTCTTCTTCTTCTTAGTCATCGCCGCGTCAAAAAGAAGGATTGTATGGTATGAGGCATTCGCACGCACGCCCACACATGGGTATATGTATGTGTAGGTACACACAATGTGTCTACACCCCAAATCGCCAACACCCAGGTGTGAAAGCTTCACGTTCAGGCTTGCCTCATTCGGAACTTGAGGCATGCGGCGGGCCAATGTGCCCACTTCGGCAAGTTGTAGCTTCTGAGATTTATGTTTAATCACAAAGTTGGATTCTTTACAATTACACTCCAACTGACGCGACTTGTCAGGTAGGCCAGCAATGTTATCCTTACTGGTGCAAGGTACAGTTCGCGCAAGGGGTCACAAGTCAATGTGGAACTTTGCAAGCGTGCAAGGGTGCGAGTTCTTTTTCGGCGTTTCTGGGGCAATCGACCAGTCGCAGGAGTTTGCGCCCATTTGGCTGCAAGAGGCTGGGAGTGGTTTGCAAGCTGTCTGGCTTCCAAGCAACCCTTTATCATGGTGTCTTTGCTGCAAGTGAGTTCCCTACTTTCAGGCTGAAAGTGGTGAAATCCTGGGTCCCAAGATGGGCTGTTCTATGGGTCCTTGTCTGTGCGAAGGTCTTGAGCCACGGGTTGGTCCATGGACGGCTTGAAGGTCTTGGGCGCCGCGCAGTCGTCAGATTCCTTGAAACCGGTATGGGGGATGGATCTAACTTTTTGTTTACTTGCAGAGTATGGAGAGCGGCTCCACTTTGAAGAACATGGCAACCCCCGGATAAAGATCCTGCTGGTTAAGGGTGTCCCCTAATAGGAATCCGATTCGATGTTTGTGGGTGACATCTTCCCCTAGCAGGATGGGCTCTGCTTAGATCCGGGGTTCCCGTTATAGGTTTGTTTGTACATAGCCCCCCGCATGTTGGATGTGTTTGGTTCCATTGAAGCACCAAGCCCAAGTGCGCCGTCCGCTCAAAAAGAACCTCTCTCCCAGTGGCAGCGGCTTCCTTTCAAACCAAGCACATGAATCTTCCCCAAAACAGACACCTGTGTGGATAAAGTTTCTTCCTCTTTTGGCTTGAACGAGGTTAGGAGATGTAGCGAAGCCTCATCCGCAGAAGTACATGCGCCCTGGGCAATGGAGGCCAGCTGGTGCGACGCGGCTTGTTGAGACTGGCATTAGATGTGCCCCAACGAGGGCCCCTTCAAAAGGTTGGACAATATTGGACTAGGGGCAACTTCCCCATTCTTTTCAGGCATCCTTCTTTCTGGGCAATGGCCCAACCCCCAGGGAATCGCGATGGTTTCCCGAACGGAATGGGATCAATCGGAGGCCAGCAGCCGCGTCTCAATCTTTGCCTCCGGCCAGGAGGCAGGGTCTGTTCGTTTGACAACATCAATGGTTGCCTACCAGTTGAGGTAGGGGGACCCAAATGTTGGAAGGGTCCCGTGACATCAGTTGCTCTGCACAAAGCATTCTTTGCGGCCCTGAATGATGTTATATTCCGGCGAGAAGGCATGGAGAGCGGCAGCTTTGTTGAGACATGTCAGCAAGTGGGTAAGGGCTGGGTATGGACCGTTCCATCGTTCAGAGGTCGTTTTGACATGGATGCCCATCTCGACCCTTGCCGCAGACTTTGTTCAGAGTACAATACAGATATATAAGTAAGCTTGGTTTTGCGTGAGGCTTCTGATGCTGCGGCTTGATGCTTGCACGTCTGTTTGTGGGGTTTGAGGAAGGATCTCTTGATTGTTGGGCCTTTCTTCAAGACTTGCTCCATCAACAATCGAAGATCAAAGCACCCTCAGGCTAGCTCCCCGTGCTTGTCCTTTTGGCTCAGCCGGTTTTCGTTTGAGGGGCCACGTGGACGCTTCAGGTTGGTGCTGAGCTGGTTCCTGTGGGGAAGCAGGACACAGCACTGTCCCTGCGTCCGGGGGCCTGGATTCACGACAAAATCCACTTGGCACCTGGGATGGAGAAAGCACCATGAATACTGGGACCCACACCTACCAAGGTGCAACTGAAATTTGCCCATCAGTATGGAGCGAAATATGGATACTCTAATTTCGGCTGGGGAAAGAACTGGGGTAGAAGAGGCAGTGCTATGATCACCATTGAGCCAGGATAAACTTGCCGGCTGGTGGCCGCGTTTCAAACACGGATTGTCAAAGCAAAGTGGTTCTTGGTTGGAAACCTTCAGCATCAGACCCGAACCGTAACATTTGTTCGTGCGGCAACCTTGGGGACCGCTTTAGGAAAAAAACCCGAGTCTGTGAAGATCCTTCGGTGGTTCTGGAGCCAGGATGTGCGCTCCTGGTTTGGCACCCCTGCACAAGGAGCTGCCTCTGTGGGGGTTCGTAATGAACCCTTCTTGTTGCATATGCTGTTTTGCAGGGAAATTCTTGGACCCCTGGCTGTTGCTGCCTTGTGAATGTTGATAATTCGCTGCTTGTATAGCGTAGCTTTCTACACTTTGGCCCTCCAAGACGCCTATGCGAAGGGTTTGGGCTCGATACCTTTCCTTGAGACATGTGGCCTCGCAGCATGCCGCGCCGGACGCCCGAGATGGATCGCGTGGCCCAATTCCTGCAGGAATGCGGCCTGTCTCAGTACACCGAGGTCATGCGCCGGGCGGGCTTCGATGATATGGAGACCTTGCAGGAGATCGAGGACTCGCACCTCAAGGCCTTGGGCGTTTTGCCCGGCCACATGATCAAGATCAAGAAGCGGCTGCGGGGCTACACAGGTCAAGGCCCCACCCCGACCCCTGCCCCTGCCACAGCCCGAGCGCCTGCACCAAGAGCCGCCACTTCTGCCTGTCCAAGCGCAGCCCGGTCTCGGCCACTGGGGCTGACTCGGACCAAGGGCTCGTCCAAGCCCACGTTGCCCATTGCACAGGAGTGCATGTGGCAAAATTGGGCTATGGACCGGGACCCAACATGGCTTTGGGTTCTCGCTGTGCACCAACCAGAATCGGAAAACGCAAGTGGTTTTCCTTGTCCCAAAACCAACCTGAGCTTCGGGCACCCTAAGAAAACCGGGACACATCCAAATCCGCGGAGGTGGCCCCCAAAGCGGGCACGCCGCCCGGGTGCATGGCTGGGGACACCATCGACGCGGTGCAGCGGAGCTGGCGCCTGGTGGAGCCAAAGGCGTGCTTGAAGCAAGGCCCCCTTTAACATGCTTGACACAGGGACACCGAAGTGGTTGAAACAGCTTGGTCGAAAGTGAGGAGCTTGAAACAGCGGTTGAAACCAAAAGCAGGTGATTGAAACAGTTTGGTTGAAACCAAAAAAGGGGGAAACAGTTTGCTCTGGTAAGGCTTTTTCCGTTCAGGTAGGCCCAGTGGCGACCACCTTCTACCGGAACTTCTTCAGCCTGGCGCCCGAGAGCAAGGCGCAAGCCGCTTTCGGCTCGGAAGGGGCCAGGGGATTTTTCTCACCCGAAAGGGGGGCCCGGCTAAAAGGAGGTTCCACTACAAACGAGTATTTTTGGGTGTTGTTCCTTCAGGTCCTTTGTAGTCCAGCCTCAGGACAGGCCAGCATCTTATTAAGGAATGGAGGGTCGGGATTTTTCGAAGCCAAGGGGTCGTCAGTTGTGAGCTACGCTAAAGGGCAAAGGCCCTTTCTGATTCATAGGGATTGCAACCAAATCCCAACATGAATATCCCACCAACAAGGGATTGCAAAGGCCGGGGTCCCCTAAGGTTTTGGTTGGGACCAATATCTATTTGTTTCTTCTTGTTTTTTTTTTTCCTTCTCCAGATCTTCGTTGGGCTTGTTCCCCAACAGCTGAAAGCTAGGTGGTCTCAGCCCAGAGAAGATTTCGGGGTGGTCTGTGCAGGCCAGGTGTAATCAAGGTTCAGGCCAGGTGTAAGGTTCGAGGTGCAGGCCAAAAAAATATTCAAGCGTTCCTGTTCCGTCTGGCGCAGGCCAGCAAAGATTCAAGCAATGGTTCCGGAGATTCCGGAGAGGCCAGGCGCAAGGTTCAAGCAATGGTTCCCATAGACTCCGGGGTGGTCCGGGCGGGCTCTGGGGTGGAGTTGAGGTAAAGTTCCGCAGGGTTCCGTGATGGTTCTGAGGTCTGCGACGAAAAAGCGCGCCGTCTGCCGTTTGGGATATCACCTGAGCTTATGAGTTTTTCCAGGGAAGCCCAAAGAAATCCGTGGCCATTTTGGGGGGGTCCCGGATATTCTTAACACCTGCCCACCTGCTTGTTGTTGCAGGTGCTGTTCCCCATGGCGGTGCGGAACCGCTGGAGGGATTGGTCCTCCCTGGAGGATGAGGTGGAAGACGACTTCGAGAACTCCTCAGCGCTGGTGGTGCTGTGGTCCAAGGCTGGGTGAAATTTGTTTATCCAGAATTCGAGTTTTTGACCGCCTCAAGGTGGACTTAAACCTAGGGGTGGTTGATTTCCTCGCAAGGGGAATCCCTGGGTTTAAGTCTACCTAGAGGTCAAATGAAACCCCGCCCTGGTCCGGGGAACTCAAAAGGGAATGTGTGAGCGAGTGCTCAAAAATGTTGAAACAGGGGGTTGAATTGCCCAACCCAGACAACCTCAAGTGGAAACGCGGCTTCCTTCGGCTTTCCTTTACAGGCCAAGTTTCTAATAGGGCTGAATGATGACTTCTTTACTCCTCCAATAGCCCAGGACCAAACTTTAAAAATGCCATAGGCCTGTATATCATTCTTGGTTGGCTGGCTGGCTGGCTGGCTGGCTGGCTGGTTGGTTGGTTGGTTGGTTGGTTGGTTGGTTGGTTGGCTGCATGCTTCGGTCGGTTGGTTGTGAGCTTTGGGACTTCTGCTTCAGGTGGTCTACGCGGTGGGCGGCGCCGTGGCGGGGCTGAGGAACCCGGGGAAGCTGGTGCGGGAGCTCCACGCACTGGGCATGCGCCATGTGGCCTACGGCGCCACTGAGGAGCTCTACGCCAAAGCGGGCAAGGCGCCCATGGGCCATGGGTCCAGGTTTCAGGGATCGGAGTTGTTGGGGATTTTTTTTCATTGGGTAGTGGGAGGTCCAGAATGCGAGGGGCCGACATTTATGGCCGCAAAGCATGGTTGATTGATGGTTTTCGGGGCCTCCATCTGACTTGTTGCACTTTGGCATCACCGCTTGTTGGGAATTTCATGATATACTCCAAGCCTTCACCGACCCCTCGATTTCCTCTACTAAGCAGACAACCCTGTTGTCCCCCTTGAAAACCGCAAGAAGGAGAAGCATCCAACAAAAACCACACCATAGATGAGTGTCAACAAATCGGGATTTGCTGAACTGTGCAGTTTCCTTTCGGTTCCCCTTTACATTCCCAAAAAATACGAAATGTTCATGTGGTTGTGTCCTTTTTTAGTCGCCCCGCAAAGTTATGTTTTTCCTTTTGGCTTACCTTCAAGCCCACAAAACCGAAACCCGTACTCTCAACGACAGACCCATGTAGAGAGCTCTTGAGGCCTTGCTCATGGCGCTCGGCGCCCACCTGGGCCCGCACTTCACCCCGGAGGTGGAGAGCGCCTGGGTCAACGTCTACGACTTCATCTCCTCCTCGGCGATCTGTGGCCTGCAGATCGCCCGGCAGCAGGCCTCCAGATCTGAGTGTGGGGGTGCTTGGGGCTCGGCGCCCTATGTTCTGGCTTAGGTTTGAAGGGAAACCGCCAATTTTGACACACACCCATTTGGCTAGTTGAACTCACCTCAAAACTGGTTGGTGAACATGACTCCCCAGCAAATGTTGATAACAAGCCTATGTTGCCCCTTGTTGTTTTGCGTATACATATACATATAGATTTGTATGTATATATATATATATATATCATGTTTTGGTTGCACATCTAACGTGAATGCCCGTTGGGGGTGATGTTTACAGGACAGGGAACCCTGGCAGGAAGACGCCGTGAAGACTCTGCTGGAGTCCATGCACGTGGCAGATCCTTCCAAGACTCTGCTGGTTTCTCGCCCACGTGCGATGGACGCAGACGCAGTCAAGGTGACTGCATGCATTCCATCCAAGATAAGTCAGGTGGGTATGTGTCAAAATTGGGGACCCCCTAAAGTGTTTGTTTTCCCTTCGGTTTTCCTTTAAACCAACCGCAAAAAGGGCATTCTCAAAAAACAAACCCCGAGGTCCCATCGAGTAGCACGATCTCCACCGTGCAACAAAGCTGGGCGATCGTCAAGGAGCTGGGAACTGCTCAAATTGGAGAGGCCGCGTGGCGAATTGCAAAACCACCAGACCCCTTGAAAAAGCGTTTGCTAGGAGGTTCTTTAAAGAACTGGCGTTTCGTAAGCATGTTTAATGGTCTTGGCATATCAATGAGGCGATGTACAAGCATCTCTTCGTGATCGAGCCCAGAGCCAAGGAGCTCTTTCCGCTGTCGGTGCGCAGGCGCTACTCGGATCCTGGTGAGAAAGAAACGGACGACCTCCAGATCTCAAGTGGCATCATTGCCGGACTTAGCTTACCTGTTTTCAGCTTTGTGCAAAACTTTTTGACGTTCCATCATGGAACCATTTTCCCTTCAACCAGCAAAACGACACTTAACCACGATTTTTTGCAGGGGGGTCTGTCGATTTTCGGATCCGTGAGGCATGCGGAACCTGTTCGGCACGGTGGTGGAGGCGGTGGGTCTGGCCGTGGCGGGCTTGAAAGATGTGTCCACCTTGGTCTCGGAGCTCAACGCCCTGGGCATGCGCCACATCAACTACAACATGAGGGAGGCGGGCGTCGGGTGACTTCTGGGTAGACTGAAACTAGATTTTCTGAAAATCCCCCCCTCGGAAAAATATGACAACCTAAAACATAGGGTGTTTCTTAGACTAAGCTTCTTTAATTGGTTGGCTTCCCGTCAAACCAGCCAGGCCCATTCGAGGAGTGAGTCTACCAAGGGTCCCTTGGTGATGGGAACACGTGTATATCCATGTTTCGGCTGCAGGGACTGTAGCCACAAAATGGAACCTGCTTGTCTCAAAAGGGGACCCGCAAAATGCCGGGTTCGAAACCTTTCGGTTTCCCTCCACCAACCAGAAAGGCGTGCCCCCAAACAAAAGGATACACCCCGCGTTCCATCAAGTTCGCGGTGTTATGGAACCCACCTGTAAATTGATCAACTATGGAAGGGGGTGTCCAGTGACCCCTGAGAGGAGCTGTTCGCGAGTGGAGGTGAGGCTTTGCTTCTGACGCTGCGGGATGGCTTGGGCGAAAAGCTCACGGAGGAGGTTAAGCTGGCCTGGGCGTCGATCTACGATTTCTTCTCCGCGTGCATCATCAGCGGGCTCCGGTTTGCGCATGAAAAGCAGCTCCTGCTGAACCAGCTCCAGAAGCGCTCGAGCGAATCCACCGAATCCACCAGATGCTCGGAGAGCAGCCCGGGAAATTCTGCGAGTGCGCAGAGCCCGGAGGTGTGAGGCTCGGGCCGAGGCCAAAGCTGCCTCGGCCACCTTTCCTTCAAAGGGCATGCGATCGCCACTCGGTGCGCTTGTCTTGTGCCCGCCCTTCCCAGGTCTCAAAGTTAATGTGAGACCAACGGTTTTCGGGGCACAGTTGTCCACAACCCAGTTGTCCAGTGTTCCCCTTTGTCCCCTTTGCCCCTTTTGTCCCTTTTGTCCTGTGTGCTCAACCCAAGATTTCCTTTGTCGACCAGGGTCACTGGGCAACTGGGTCAAGCACCGGCAACTTGTGCACCCCACAAACCCATAATCATTGCATAGAATTCAACGCCCGCTTCTGTCATGCGTGACGTGAATCTCGCAGCTGCGGCCAGCACCGTGACATCCGCAGCAAGCTATATTTCTGTACAGTCCTTGGGAAACTTCTGTTCCACTGAGAGTTTCTTAAGTCAGTTGCAAAAAGGCAATTTCAACGGGGACCTCTGCAGAATTTTGGCCAGAGACGAGCACGATGCCGTCTCGAGGTATGGACAAATGGCAGCGGAAAACAAGGCTGTCAGTGCTGAGAGACCCTGAAGCATATCAGAGGGTCAATTCGCGACTCTGGATTGTTACTCAATCCCCAAAACGCACAAGTTGGGATGGACGAAATCCTATGAATACTAGGAGACGCCAGAAATCCCCACCGGTGCTGGAAATCGCCCATCAACAAATGCTGGGGGCCACCAAAAATGAGGGTGGGGAGGGCCCTTCAATTAACCTGAAAACGGCGCAAAGGGGGGGGGCATTTTCCGTCCACAGTACGCTGAGTCTTGGGTTCAGGTGCCAAGCACTCACTGGCTGCCTCCAGATTGCTGCAGACGCTCCTGGAGAAGGGCAAAGGCATCTGTTTTGTGGGCGGGGTGGCTGGATTTGGCTGAACAATTAGGCACCTCCCTGCCAAGGTTTCCCTTCGGTTTCCCTTTGGTCTTGCTTTGGCTGCCCTTTGGTTTTCCCTTTGGTTTTACTTTGGCTTCATTACGTGCATAGACCGTCGCGCGGCGCGAGTGCAACTTCGCGGAGCTTCGGGAGCTTGGATCGCAAGAGCATTGGATCCCAGTCGAGCGGCATCCGCGTCGTAGCTTTCATGAGTCCAAGGGACATCACACCATATGTTAACATGCATGGCTTCGAGATTCGGCGTTTTCACTGTGGTATGTCTTTGAATGGTGCGCCCACTTTTGGACGGTTGGAGAGAAAAACCAAAAGAATCTGATCACCCGGTGCACCTCAGGTTGAGGATAATTGATAGGTTCGATCACAATCTGCAGTAGTCTATGAGACATGGGGGACTCACAGAGAATCCCACAAAAGCCGGGGTATCCACTCATTTCCCATGTCCTTACCCGGTTTCGCCTCTTCTGCCTGCGGCGGTCGTCGCTTGCGCGGGACCCAAAGTACGCCAGACGCCTTGCCCAAACCGGCGCCTGGTGCCGCGGCCGCGAGCAAGGAGGCAGCTGCTGGGCTGCTGGGGGGCTTTGACGTGGGCGAAAATCGATTTTCCTTGGCTCAGACCTCCGGTGGGTGCATTTGTCCTTTTCTCCTTGTTTTGGAGGGGTTTCCCTTTAAAAGCAGTGGGGCTTCCCTTCTGATTTCCTGAGAACCGCCAATAAAACACCCTTTGAAAAATCGCACCCGCAAGTCAAGAGTGATAGTTTGCGGATTTGTGTTGTTTCAGATTGTTTTGAGAACATTAACCACAGTGTTGTTTGTAGCTTGTGACTATTGCAGAAGTCATATGAATGTATGTGCGTGAGTCCGCCAAGAGAGTCTGTCAGTTATTGCTTTTGTTTTGCTGGCCCTCCTAAAGTGAACGCTTGGAGGGACTATCAAAATTAGTTTCGGGGTTGTTACCCTTTAAAACACCATTTAGAGGATAATCTCGAGGACTTCACTTTAATGGCCATCATGTTCCTGTCCTTCCTGTTGAGTTGACAAGCACTTCCGAAGTACATTTCAATTGTGACTCGGGTGAGGCTTCTTAAGTTCCTTTTTTGCGACGTGTGACCTGCACGTAGCATATGCTCCAACTCGCAGCTGATTGTTTTCGGACACCATATCCCCCCCAAGTGTTCGGGCTTTTTATTGACGGTCCAGCATGGCACCGGTTCCATGTGAATACCATGCTGCACCAGGTAGGTAGTTTGTGCCATTGATGGGGCTTCATGCACAGCGCAACCCATTGATTCTGTGGGAATCCTCCTCGAAACTACCTGCCAAACTTTTTCTGATCCCTTTCCAGCTGTATTTGAGAACGGATAGTCTGAAAGGCAAGGAGAGCCTCGCCCTCACATGGCTACCGAACTGGGGGGTTTGTCTCCCCCTTTTATCTCGGAGCCCCGCTTCTGTGGTAGGTTGCCCCTACGCCTTAAAACATGCGTGCACATCTGGTTATTTCAGTTTGGATGTGGGATTGTCGTGGGCCTATGGTGACCCAAGGTCTGGAGTAGAGCTTACTCCCGGCCTGCCAAAGGTAAAGGAGCTCTGTGGGTGAAAATGCACGGGAACCGCAGATTTAGTTTTTGGTTCTACAAACTGGGGGGTTGGGGGCTCCCCTAGTTTGGAGCTGGCAGACTCCTGAGCCTAACGTTGCATTCCGCAGCCCGTGGTTGCACCTTTGGGGCTCCAAACTTATTTTGCGCATGTTCGGAGTACTCTGAGTACTCCCATGTGAAATCTGAACAATCGCATTTTTGGAGAATGGGTTGGGCCAAGTTCTTCTCTTTTTGCTTTGTGAAAGCAACGGCTTTGCCGAGAACAAGCGTTCAGGCTTTTGCAGGTCAGTTTGATCACCCGTGAGGCGCCCAAACAGATCGACCTGACCTGGGATGAGGAGAGCTGACCGGGTTGGGCGTTGGTGGAAGATGGTGCGAGAAGCGGTGGACACCGTTTGTTTTCCATCCAGGTGCTGTTTTCATTTCCACTTTGCTTCATTTCTATTTCCTCTTTGCTTCTTGTCTATTTCCACTTTGCTTCATTTTCTTGCTCAGATAAGACGACATCTTTCAGATTTCCTTGTGGTTTATAGGCTTATTGGTGTCTCGGGGGGGGTGTAGGTGGGTGGGTGGGTGGGTGGGTGGGTGGGTGGGTGGGTGGGTGGGCATCAAACCTTGTCAAGGAGTGTGGGGGTCTTGAGGGGTTTTAGGGACAAGGGTGGAGGCCGAAGAAAAAAAAGGCGCATGAGCAAGCACGGCCGCTTTCGTGCGGCTGACAGAAGGAAGGGACCGAGGAGTTCCTGAAACGAGGGTAACAGGGCCTTTTCCAAGACTGAAGACAACCTGGCGATTATGCTCACAGAATGACTCTGCTAAAACCATGGTTATTTTGGAACTTATTTTGGACTTGATTCACATGGAACTGGCCCCCTTGGTAATCTCCCTGGGTGGATCCCCAGGTGAAACTCACTCGAGTTGGATGAAATAAGGGGCGTGTGTCTCAACACGGTGTATCCCCTTGGTATGTAAAGGCAGACCAAAAGGAATCTAGCTATTTTTAGGTCACAACTCTTAGAACCACTTAAGAAGGTTCGGATTATTGTCCAATGGGTGTGTCTTTTTAAAGGGACCCCTCTAAAGTGGTGGATGTCCTTTTGGTTGGTACCCTCCAACAAAGACAACCCGCATCTCAGGAAGTGAGGAAATCCACTGTCGCGAGGACTCCGTGGATCGCTTTGTGCGCGCCAGCCTCTTCCCACCCGCAGACCCCGCTGCAGGGGACCTGGTCGAGCTATAAATTAGATTTGGATGCATCGGAATAGCCATGAATGTTGAGAGTTGGAACCACGGTTGGTGGACATGAATCCCCTTCGAGTTTTGATGCTCACCAAAGGATCCCGGATGTACACCCAAATGTTGGTTAAAGCCAACCAAAAGGGGTTTGGAGTTGGCTTGCCTTTCCCCAACATGTTTTTGGTTGTCCTTTTGGATTGCCACTATTACCAACCCAAATGGGGGGAAGCCTTAAAAGAGAACTCCAGATTCTAAGAACGGAAGCACGCATTGTATTTCTATATACATATACATATGTATATCCCCAGTTGATTGAAAGAGGGGTGCAACCAATTTTCCAGCGGATTCCTAACTTCTGACGGGAGCAGCCCATGCTAATCTGCGGGGTTCATTTAGGCGGGATTGACGTTAGAGAGTCAAGGGTGCAAGACCTGAGGAGTTGAGCAGTGTATCTAAGAAGCTACAGGAACATCTACAGAAGCTTGCCCAAGCCCTTGTTTCTAGCGGGTGGACTAATTATTTCCAGTAGAATTTCGCGTAGCTGATTTCTTTGAGTGGAATTGCTTGGCAGATCTATGTGCTGCGAGGATTTGAGCAGCCAAGACCGTGGATGGTCTATGAAGGCTTGCCAAACACGTGGCGTTGTGCGCATTCTTGTTTTGGGCAACTAGGACGTCTGCTTGTTTGTACCCTTTCAAGGCAGCAGATGGGTTCATGCCGCTGCACCCTGTGCACATTGCCTGCGGCCATGATAGCTGACGCCTGTTTGAGACCCCTGTTTGATGAACTTGGGAAGCATCCCAAAGAAAGGGCCGCCGTGCCGCAACCGCCGGTGTAGCAGGCAAAGGTTGCGTGCCAAGGGCTCAGTCTTGAACACTAACAACCGCAAGCATTGCTCTGGACCTGCAGGTGTGTGTGCTGTTTCTCACCTTTTGGAAGGTGCGTCAACCGCCAGGCCCATCATTCGGGGAATTGTGCTGCAACAGGTTCAAAAGCAAAGCCCAGGGCCTAAAATTGATGGTTTTTCCTTTGGTTTTCCTTCAAACCAAACCCAAAAAGGGTGCCAACTCCCAGAACAGACACCCAAATGAAGATCTACCCAGATGGGATCTAAACCCAAAGGAAACTCCTCAAATAAGTAGGTACGTCAGAATCGAAAATCTGGAGATCCCACCAACGACCGTTTTCCGATTTCCCAAGCCAACCTGATTTTTTGGGGAACTCTCAAAAACACGCACAAAAAATTGGTTTCTCTTGGTTTCTGATTCCCCTGTACCTCGGCTTAGGTCGTCGAGGTGCCGGGCAAGGGGGAGACCTACTTTATCGAGAGCATGGAGCCGCTCGGCAGTTCAAAGGAAACGGAGGGGTTTGGGTGTGCCATGGTGGGGAGGGTGACCTTTTTCTGGGTGTATGTTCAAGGGAAGCCAGAAGAGAACTGGGTAAAAGTCACTCTTTTTTTGGA